CCAAATTATCACGAAATGCTATGCATCATTGCATTATATTTGTCAGCTCTTCTAAACAACGATTTTTAATTACTGTGGTCCGAAATTTGTTGGAAATCGATCATCTCCAATTATATTGCAGATTGATCCATATGAACAAAAAGCTATGTTTAAAATGTAGGCCTCAGTAGGCCTGTATTGGACATAAAACACCCAAACGAATGAAAATTTTAAAAAGAATCATGAATTATGGGCTTTAGAAATCCATCAAATGAGGCCCTCAAAATCTTTGTCGGCCTGTGCTCTTCCCTTCACCACGCCCTTGATGACCTCAACCTAAGGCCCGCTTCACTCGTAAACGCCCTGAAAACGCCCTGAACATATAAACAAATAATTTATCAACAGAGCATGGCTAGTGCATTTCAAATGCGTTGGTCATAAACACCCAATCTTAGCAGGATGGGATCTTAGCAGCATATATAGCATATTATTACAGAACCTTTCGGGAATAATCTGCTCGCCTACTAGGGGCGAAGCTTAGTGGAAGGTCTTATTTTTTAGAGGCTGCAACTATAGCCATAGTACCCAGGCAAGTAAAATCCAGGGGCCAACCGAGTGGTCAAGGAGCAACGCAAAATGTACAACACGTGACTAATATAATCATATTAAATGAACATAACTCGACCAGGTACAGAGAGGAGGGCTAGCCTGTAAAGGAGCAAGTTACAATGTTATAACAGGAATTGATCAAGAAACAATAGAAATTACAAAGTGACTGCCAATTAGGTTAACCTGTGCAATACTGCTTCTTAATTTAGTTGTATGAAACTATAGATTGCCAAATTAGACATTGCATTAAATTGATCAAAATCGACGTAGATATAATCTATTGTGATAGGCTATTGTAGCGCTCAATACGCGGCATAGTTTAGTCATGTGCCTCAATGAACTGTGAGTAAATATCGGTTAATAATTGGTAATGAATTAGGCCATAATAAGCTATATTTATAAAAGAAAATATGAAGTTTATTCCAAATTAAATAATGTTCTACTAGCTCTAACACATAACCATCTGTGTAAATCGGAATACGATTCTGTATACCTATCTTGGATTATTCCAAATTCTAATGACAAATGTTATTTAACGCATGTGTTTTATAAGTTTTGCTTCATGAATTGTCTTTGAATTATTAGTGATGACGTCACTGAAGCGTAGTTGCAGGGGGACCCTAACTTGAATGCAGTCTCGTTAAAAACCAATTCAAGTAAATCCTGCAATCGCTAATAATGTCATTTTTAAGCACGTAAGTATACTTCGAGTCTTGCTCTCAATTCAGGCAGAAATATAGACAAACAACTACAGGAATATAGAGATAAATTCTAAACCGTCTTTATTAGTAATAATATATACCTACATATACACACTACAGTACATATA